ACCACTTTCGAAATGTGGCAGCATCAACACTCCACCCTTTCTTGCGAAAGTGAGGCGCTGCGCGACTCGGCACGCCACCACCTTGCTCGCCGATACACTTGATCGCCTCCTGCTTCTTTCCGAGCTCATTTGCTTGACGCATGGTTGAATTCAAAATAACGGCCCAATGCTAAGGTGTTTACAGCGGCCTTTTATTTGAAGAGGTCTTTTAATCGAAGCATTCTTTTACATTGTCGAAAATTCGATGGGGGCTTGTAATAGTAGAAGGTCTTCTATTCGTAAAAACCCGTTATTAGGTTATCTAAGTAAATAGTAAACCCTAATTAATATGCATAACTACTGTTCTTGTTACGGTGTAGCCACACCATTGTGTGATTACACCGTCTTGTGTAAATCCCACGTTTGTACAGTCACACCAGATTGTGTGGCCCACACTTTCGTACTAGGGTACGTGTATCCCCGTTACACTTTTAGAGTCAACGTCGGCGAAGGAGAACTTTTAATGCAGACGAGCTAAATGACGCCCATTTTAAGATGAGGCCTATACGTATACGCACCGCCAACGATCGATCGTCCATCGAACGCGCGGTAACAAGCAATTTGGCGTCTTCTACTGCTTAAGATAGCAAGCCCTCGCTTTGAATTCAGAAAACTTTTCCAAATCTAATATTTTATTGGGAGCTATAATCTGGATAATAAAAACGAAGGTTGCAAACAGTTGTGCCCTCCCTCTTAATGAATTTGCTCTCGATTAAATAAATATAGTAACGGAGTAATTTACTTTAATATAGATATTTCGACATCCTACCGGTTTCACACAAGTATAACCATATCAAAGAAGAGAAGGCATGCGCAACTCCGAATGCGTCGTTGTGGCTTTCGGATGCAATGATGACGGTCAATTAGGAACTGGGGCAAAAAATCGGCCAACCCTGGCCATCGATGGCGTGTCGGCTTCAAACTTTCCTCAAAATGTTGAAGGTCTACCGGACGCGGAGATCCTGGCTGTCTCGTGTGGTTCTCGCCATACGATGGCTCTCGCAGCTAGCGGTTCTGTATACTCTTGGGGCTGGGGATCGGTACGTTTGTGTTTTCATCTAATTATCGCTCAAATACTTAATTTCATTAACATTAGATGGGACAACTAGGTCATGGAGACCTCAAAAGCGTCAATATTCCTCAAAAGATTGCTTTTTTTGAGCAAAAGGGACTTAAAGTGAATTACATCTCTTGTGGGGGTTGTCACTCTGCTGCTGTTACAAATGACGGAACGCTCTTCATGTGGGGCGAGTCGCACTGGGGTCAGCTCGGTTT